CCCCGCGATGGGGTGAGGTCCCGTTGCTCGGTCCCTGCTCCTGCCCCCCTAGAAGTTCGAAAGCACATCAAAGTGCAAGGAGATAAAGTAGACCTAATGGTCAGGGGTCCCTTTACCTTTACCTTTAACAACTCTCAGCACCTGTAATAAAATACAGTTCCTGGGGTTCTTTGGGAATAAGCAAAAGATTGCACAGATTTGCATGTTTGGATGTGTGTACTGAAGCTGTGGAACAGCCACGTCCATCAAGTTCTTTGCAACTGTGCTTTGGTTTCATTCTAGGCCTGCTACTTTCTTTCTTTTTATTGGCCCACTTAGATATTAAGAGAAAACAGCTGATTAGAAGCACTGGGTGTTTTCTTTTCATGGCAAGTGGCATCAACATGAAAACAGAAGAGGACAGAGGAAAGACAGTGTACGGGTAAAGCTACATCAGGAGGAGTTTCATTAACCTTGCTGGCCCACCATAATTCCAAACGTCAGCAGGTAATCAAGAACTTACTGACATCATCAATGAATGGAGAGAAGAGCTCTCCTAAGGGACCAATCTTTTCTCTTAGGATGATATATATGCTTACCCCACCACAAGGGGTTTACTATGCTCAGTGCTCTGGAAGCAAGCAGTAATGTCAGCCGTTGCCTTCTACCATTGAAATGCATGTTTTCAACTGCTGGGGTGAATGATTTATATTAGCAGTAAAAACATTTATATAAATGAGAGGAAGTTTGACTGCATTATTAGTCAAAAGGACAGTCAGTCATTAGCAGTCTCCTCATGTACAACAGTTGGGCTTATCCCACTTCACTATTTTTTTTTATCAGCCATTCAGTGGTGGTGGAGGAGAATACAGGAATAAAAAGAAACTTCTTGCTGTTAAGCTTTTTTTGCCCTGTGCTGTGTACTTAGTCTGGCTGCTTAACCCTATATGTATTTACCTGGCAGCAAGCTCCTGTTGAACTCAATTCAATTTACAGTGCATAGACTTGCACTGCAAATCAGCTTAGGTTTGATAGAAAGTAAGTTTGTAGGCTTTCACCTTGCTCCAGTTAAAAGCAGACTTCTGTACACACATCCTAGCTGGACCCAGGATCCAGCTGCCTGGATTGTAGACTTATAGTCCCATTCTGAAAATCAGCATTTGCAACAAGCTGTGGCAGATCTCAGTGGCAGAGTCCAGAGGAACCCAACAGAAGCTTTCCTCGTAGCAACAAAGCAGATCAGGGGTTAGGATTGTTCTGTGATTTTATTTATAATGAAAGCTTGTGCAGTTTTAATGTGGGAGTACCTGACTTTAATTAAACAGCAAAAATAATTAACCAATTCATGCTCAAAGCAGACCCATCGATTCCAGTGGGTCTACTCTGAGCATGACTCGGTCAGCTACAGTCCTTTACCTTCATATAGTCTAAAGTGCACAAAAATGCTTTTAATATCAGCAGTTAACTTGCAAGTCCTCCTTGAAATATATATCACATTTATTAATTTAACAAGAATGCTGCTAATTTAAAAATCAAAATATCCTCCCCCTACTGTGCTAATGATGTACATCACCTCTTGCGATAATGTTCCCACTTATTACAGTGTCCTTGAAAGTAATTTTGGGCATTTTAACCCATGCGCAAGGCAATCACTTAACAAAAGTAAAATAAAAATTTTAAAACCCTTGCACAGTATGTTATCATTATCCTAAGAGCTGGTTTATTGTAATCTCCAGTTCCCAGTGAATTCAGTGGGAGTTGATATTTTTCAACAGAAGAAAGAAATGCATAGTTAGGTGGGGATTATCATTTCTTAGTCACCCTTGGGCCACATTCACACCATACATTTAAAGCACTATGATACCTCTTGAAGCAGTCATGACTCCCCCCACCCCTGAATTCTGGGTATGAATGTGCCTTTGGTGTATCTAAACCATCTTAGTCTCATAAGTAAGTTTTAAGAGGCTTTATGTTTTGGTAGGAATGACATTCGTGCAACTGGCCCCTTCTATTTTCATGAAAACGTAGGTCACATGTGGAAGGGCCCAACTGAAACTTTTCCTGTTATTTTGTTCACTGTGGCACTTTGTTAGGTGGGCAGGAACACACAAGAAACTTCTGGTGTGCTCTCTTCTCCTGATGCAAAGTATTGGCGGCCTTCTTCTGTAAGATGGCTAACCAAACTTAAAGTTATGTCTTCTGTTTAGACGTGTTGCTCTACATATAAGTAATGCCTGCCCCAGATGGCTATCATGAATTTCCACTGTTGAGTTGCAGCAGGTGTCAAGAAGTGAAGAAGCCATTTCAAAGTGAGTAGCAGATCTCTCTGCATTCTTCACTAGCAAATTCTGGCTGGGCCTAAGGAACAATTTAGGAGGAGATGGCAACCTCTTAACAGACCAATGTAGACATGTAGATAATCAGGAAACTAGCAATATCCTGGTTCCCAGCTCTTCTGTCTTAATTTCTTTAAAGCCTGGCTGAATGGGCGCTGGTGGTTATACAAACAAGGAAGGAACCCAATTTCCAAACACTCTAGATGATGGCTGTTTTAGGGAGCCATGACTGAAGGGATGCAACTCTACACAAACAAATAAAGAAGAAAAAGGACCCATATAAACCATTTCCCATGAAGCAAGGACCATCCAAGGATGGATGACAGTGAAGTCCCTGGAGCATATTCTTCTGGATTTAATCTTTGTTGTCCTAGACTACATAATAAGCAGAGCTTCATTTGCCATATGCTTTCCTTATTCCCAAATGCCAGCAGCAATTTAACTTTGCAATGAACTCAAGTGCTAAGACACCAAAATGTGGGTTTTATTGAAGAGACTTGGGTAAGCTAGTAGTTGATATCCTTCCATTACAATTCTGACACTAATTTTCACTTATAATCGTTTTCGCCTGAAACAGGCCCACAAACAGACTTGTACGTTCCTCCCTGACACATGACTTACTGTGGCATTAAATGTGTTTAAATTGTTTTCCTCTGCTGCTGTAGTGCTGACCCCTTTATTCTGTAAACAATTTGTTCTCTATATATTTAGGTTTCGTCTTCTAAATTGTGAGAAAATGAGCCTGGGATCTTTATATTTTAATTGTATCATCAAAGCCCATTGAGGATACGATAAAGTAACCAGAAGTTAAATTATCAATAAGAGTCATTTATTTTGCATTTTTTATTTTTAAAGAATACTTATGAGAATTGTGATAAATTAGCAGTGACAAACTACGTCTTGCAGGCCAATTTTGTGTGGAGAGTTTAATTAAACATTGCAGCTGTTTATCTCTATGGTGATTACATTTTCATATGTAAATTACATGTATTAAGATCAAGATACTTATGTAAATGTCACTTGCCTTAATGTTTTGTGTTCCTGTTATTAACGTCTAACCATCAGCTTGTAATCTGCTGGTATTGCATTTCACCAGCATGCACGACATGACTAAAATAAGTAGATTTAGATCTTAATAACAAACAAGTTTTTAAAGAGAGCTACGGCTTACTATGTAATTGAGATGTAGAGAGATAAAAAATAATAATAATAAAAAAATAGCCAAATAGGAACTGCTGTTTATTTCTGAATATCATTGGTTAGAACTATTCCATTCATTAAACACCACCCATCTGCCTGCTAACAAATGCTTAAGACAAGTAAATCATGTATGGCTCCAGATTTCGAGGAGCAAATACTAATCTAAGAGGCGGGCAGGCACTGATGCCAAGGCCCACTCAAAGCTCAGGATGTGCCATTTTGTTTTCAAAGCTGTGTAACAAGTTATAATGTTACATTGATGGACAGCTATGGAATTTTGAGGCTCCCGTTGTCCATTATAAAGCTTATCATAAGGCTGACTCTAAGCACAAAGGAGTTAAGCACTTCTAAGTCTTAGTGGTTTCAATGGGAGAGTTGAGTGCATAGTTAAAACTAAAATCATTGGAACTTAAAAGTGCTTAAGTTTGGTTACCTTATGCCCAGTGCCGAATTTACGTATAAACTAAACAAGCTATAGCTTAGGGCCCCACTCTCTTGGGGGTTCCCAAAAATTTAAAGGGGAAAAAACTGGATGTACATTTCCAAAATCTAAGATAAAAAACAAATAAAAAGGCTTTAGATACCTATTAGGTCCATAAATTACCATATAGCATATATTCAACACCAAAAACAGTGACAATTTGTTGTTGACAAAGGACAACTGGACATATAAAGGGCCCCATTACCTTCAGTAGCTTAGGGCCTCATCAAACCTAAATCTGGTCCTGCTTATGTCCCATGTCATTGATGATGTACTCTGGTTTCCTGGCCAGGCCCACTCCCTGCCCTAGTGCTTCAGGAATGGTGAAAGGTGGTAGATCTTCTATAACATCTCCTCCCCATGATCATATGAATCATATGTTCATAATGCTATCTTTATTAAACCACTTGATAGATGATAGATGATAGATGATAGATGATAGAGATGATAGATAGATATATAGATGATGACAGATGATGATAGATAGATAGATAGATAGATATAGATAGATAGATAGATAGATGATAGATAGAGATTTCCTTTTTTAATCAAGTGGTCTATAAATTTTGTTTAAGAACATGAGAAGAGTCCTGGGAATTTCCCTCTGAATTATTCCCAGAAGAGTCCTGGGAATTTCCCTTTGAATTATTCCCAGGTGTCAAAAAAGACTATTTATGTATGCTGCGATTGCAGCCCGTGTTTTGTTAGCCCCAAAATGGAAAACAAGCTAGGTCCCAACCAAAGAAGAATGGCAACTTAAAGTGATGGAATACATGCAGCTTGCAGATTTAACATATAGAATAAGAGGACAAGAAGAATGTATGTTTAAAGAAGACTGGAAGATGTTTACTGAATATATAGGTGAAAATTGTGTTCATTTAAAAACGCTGGTAGCATTAAGATAAATTCAGTGAAAATAAGCTTTGATGGATATAACAATGGATTACTGAATGGTTTCGTTTATGTAAAATATGCAGGGATGTATGGTATGCAAAATGTACCGCAGAAAGAGAAGAAGGGAAGTCATTGATTTAAAATTGTTTAAATGAATATTTTGAAATGTAAATCAGATAATGTAATAAAAATTGTGTGTGTGTGTATGTTTGTGTGTGTGTGTGTGTGTGTGTGTGTGTGTGTAACATGAGAAGCATCAGACCAAAAGCCCATCACAGTGCCCAACCAGATGCCTATGGAATGCCTGAAAGCAGGACTTGAGTTTCCTCACCAATTGATATTTAGAGCCATACTGCTTCCAATAGTGGGGGTAAAATTAAAAATAAGAATAATAGTAATGAGTATGGAATCTCTTACAGCCTCCAAGAGGATGTGATTAAGTGGGGCCCGGCCATGGCATCTCAGCTGGCTACCCAGAAATAATTTTAATCCCTTAAAATGATGACACTCAAAACAGCCATAGAATGTTTCAATATCGCCTTCTTTCAGACCAGTGGAGGACAGATAGCGCAGTTGCATTTTCCAGGATTACAGACGTCATCATGTTTTCCCAGCTTGAAAACTCCTTGAAGAATTAACTTCAATTATCCACGGGGGGAGAAGACAATTATTTTTCTTTTAATTATTTAAAATAATTATTAATTTTTAATAGACAATGATCCCACTTAAGCTATTCGAATCATTTCAATAATTATCCATTACAACTCACAGTCTCAAGTTTGTCTCTGGCACCCGAGCCCCCCAGACCGGTTTTATACTCAAAACAATTCATCCGATCGCATCTGGGCAGGCAGGGAGGTGTCAGTACTGTCAGCTTTGAGTGCAGATCACCTGTTTGTTATGAAAGAGGAAGTGTGTCATTAATCAGCCTCCCCCTTCCCCAGGTGGGTAATTGGCATTGCTACAGGTGACACTAGGACTCTGATAACAATCTGCTTAATAGTGTGCATGTGGTTAACGATATGCTTTCCTCCCCAGGCACTGGATATGGGGTTGCCACAAACTTATACATCAACCTTTTGCATGCATTGGACGGCATCCAGTAAGGCAATCCACACAGGCAAGCCTGTTTCTGTGCATGGACCCCCTTTGCTGCCCTTGGTCAACAGTCTCTCTGTGCTCTCAATGTGGGGAGGGGAGGGAAATCAATCTTTTTTCCAGTTCATGTAGAATGTGTTCAATCATAAATCCATTCTAGCTTATTTCTGGATTAATCTGGATTTTCTTTTTCTTTACATGGAAAATCTCATTTAAATACATTTGAAATAGTAATTTAAATGTAGTTGCTCAAAAAAATGTGCATTTCTAAACTTATTTTGATACTTTTATTTTTTTTAAGTCAAGAAACCTTCCAGATGTTTGAAATCCACCTAAGGAAGAACATCCAGTCCATTCCAATTCCCTCCAGATGTTTTGGGCTACAACCTGCATCAACCTCAGCCAGCATGGCCAGTGGTTGAGAGATCAGGAGTACCAGCTCCTAGGGGCCGATCCTTTTGGGGGGGGCAATAACATCGGGCAGGCCCAATGTTAAAAAAAAATCAGGGGGCGGAGGAGGCCAAGCCTGGAGCCAAGCATGGCACAGCTTCAGTGGCTGGCTCCTCCTCTTCCTGCCAGACAGGAAGGAGGGTGGAAGCATCCCCACCAGTGGCAGTGGCAGGAGCAAGAGGAGGAGTCGGCCAAGCACCAGAGAGGAGGAGGAGCTGCCAGCCATTGACGGCATTCAGCTCCACCCCCTGGCTCCTCCCGAAGTCCTGACACTACATCACGCATTGCTGTGCAATGTCACAAGCATGACATCACACACTCCAATCTCCCTCACAAGTTGGCACCTTTGTCAGGGATGATGAGAATCATGGTCCAAAACATCTACATACATGACTCCGGGTTGGGAAAGGCTGTTCTTGGGAGGTGTGGATCAGGCCAGTTTTTGAAAAGTTTGCAAAGATAGAATTCCTCAGGCATCTCTTCCTAACAAGGATATCAGAATTTGGAGCTATGTTGTTAATTAGATTAATCCCCACCAATAAAACAAAGTAGAAAATCAGAGCTAGACAGTAGCACCATAAAGACTAAGAAGTGGGGCGGTAGAAGAGAAAATGGATATATACTCTACATACATGGCTGTAATCAATAATGGGAGAAAACACTGAATGTTTTATGAGGTATTTGCAAATTGTTACATTGCTGTAAAGATGGTGTGATTGTCTCAGTAGCTCTTAAATACAGATATATAATGATGAAGTTTACCAAGCAACAATTTTGCTTAAAAAGAAAGCATTTAATAAGAAAGGGCTTTCAGGGTAGTTTTGCCGTAAAATGTATTTTATTCCTTTTTGTTCCGTCTACTGAAATAATGACCTGGAATAACAACGACCATTAGATTACTTTAGGTGAGTAGCCACTATAATTACCAAAAGTTAATTAGAATTATTAAGATAACAAAGAATCCCATTCATGTTATCCTGACATTTAATAGAGGAGCCCAACACTCTGTCTTATTCATGAGTACTGCTAGGCTGTTTTAATGGCTTGCCTCCCTTACCAAATTAAATGTTGATGGATTGTCCTCTCAGAGTGTGCGGGCTCTCTGAGCAATATTTATTATTGACCCTAAAAACTAAACTACAAGGAAGGCCCATAAACAATTGCTTGTCTCAAGTGTGCAGTAAACAACTTTTGAGTTCATTGCATGCTCATTTTCTTCCTCGGGAAATGGTTGTAGCATCAGTTTTGTGATGCTGTTCTTGCTTTGGGCAATAAAAGTCGAAGAGAGAATGGGGACATCACTTCCTCTTTTCAGCAGGAACAATATGGCAGACCAGACACAATACCATGCTGATGCTACCATTGTACCTTTTGGTAGGTGTGAACTAGGGATGGATGAAAAATGTGATTCTAATTTATACTTCTTGAACAATGCTGGGACTGAAACAAAATTAACCATAGATCTCCATGCTTCTCTGAATTTTGTGTTGCAGTTCTCCAACTAACCAATGTGAACAACAACAACAAAAAAGTTAGATAAAAATGTGCATAAAATGCACATATTAGTGTGCATTGTATTAGGGGAAAACTATACAAAAAAAAATGTGATAGGAGAAATTTGCACTAGAATGCTGACCAATTTCCGTTATGATTTTTTTCAATGGCTGCTCACCCAGTTCCAGCGTGGGTGGTGGTTTCAGTTTCCCCATCTGGGGAGGGTGTCGAAAAGCTTGTCGCCTCGTTGCCAGCCATTGGGGTCATTCCTGATTGGCTGCAAGGGATCACGGGATACCCTGCCAAACTCCAATTTTGAATCTGGCCAACAAGGGCCCTCTCAGGAGGCAGAGCTTTGGCGGTGGACTAAAGTGGTTTTCACTCTGGGAATAAAAGCAGGCTGCACTTTGGCTTGGCAGTGCAGTCGACGGAAGAGCAAAACATATGCTGTTCTTTATGCACCAAGCATGATAACCTTGTTTTGCTTCCTTTTGCATCTTGTATGATGACTTTGCTATGGTTGCTGTGTTCGGAGCCGGGAAGGAATTTGCCTGCAGACGAACCCCATTTGGAAGTTTTGCCTTCCTCATAGCAAACATCAGAACTTCAGGTGGGTAAGGCATTGAGTGGAATCTTTAGTCCAGTCCCAGATTCAGTGTGAATTGGTGCATCACCCCAACCTCTCAGAATACCCTGGTAAAGGGGTCTAAGTGGAAGTCTCCGTTCAGAAGCCAAGTGGAGGTGCAGACATGCCACAGAACCTCAAAGCAGCAGTCGGGGTGGGGGGCAACTTAGTTGACCTGTGTCTTGAGGTAGCCCATAACCAGGCATGACCCTGTTCAACCTTCAGCCATTAGGTGAGAGCATGATGCAGGATACACACCCAATGCCTAAGCCAAAGCCTACCTACACCTACAATCAATAAAGCTGTGGCCAATTTTCAATCCCAGAAAGTTGGTCAAGTTTGTTCCACCTACCATTTCTTAATGCTTTCGCTCATGGGGATGGGACGCTGAGAGTGGGTTCAGAATGAGAAATTTTTAGTGAAATTTTCATGGGTGAGGTGAAGGTGTTTGCAATACTTCCCTTATTTCTGAAGTAGACATAGGGTAACTGGGGTTTTTTTGTTTGTTCCACAAACCATTTCTTGGGTGGCCTGCAGCCTCCCATGGGGGTTTTTCAGATCAGGAAGCATGGAAATGGGGGAGGCTACAGAGTGTGGAGGAAGTGTTTACTAGAAAGAAAGAAAAACATACCACTCTCGACCACCCACAACTCAAAATCCCACACTGACCAAAATTCTAAATTAAAATTAAGTGTCTTGAGAATGAGGTAGAGAAATGAAAATGGAGGACAGATCTAAGCACAGCGCTAGGTCCTTCTGATGATTAGAATGACCTTTAATAGTTGGGTAAAAAAAAGGATTTTTGCAGCTCTGTCTTTTTTCATCCCTATACCTGAAAATATTTCCATCTTTATCACAACTATTAAAGGTTTTGCCTTCTCACCATGATTCTCTCACTGAAATGCATTCATTTTGCCAATCATTTCAACAGGTAATACCCATGAACGTCTCCCGATAAATAGTGATTGCTGATATTTAATGGAGACACAAATGATGCAGACAAAACCCATCATAATCACATATTCTAAATTGGAAATATAGATATAGGTTGCTTACAAAAGTGTCATCATTACTAAAATGCCCTAAAAAGAGACAGCTTCAATAAAAACCTAATTAAAAGCCATTTTACTCTGTGATTAATGATTCAATTTATCATACTGATTATATGATTAATCGTTTACAACCCCTTTTTGATTAAAGAAACCAATCACATTTGGATATTGGAGAGCTGATTTTTGTAATTTTTCCAAGATGTTTTTGATGTGAATGGTCAAAAATATTACTAGCATTGATCTTCAGAGTAGCTGACTGGAGAGGGTTGAGGTTTTTGTTGTCATTTTCTGAGCGTGCATTCCAAATTTGGATTTAGTTTTTGCCCTCTGAAATGATGTCATCCTCAGTTAATTTAGATTTTAATATAAGTAAATAATAGTGTACCCATTCCTGCTTTGCAGACAGTTGGACTACATGACTTTCATGGTCCCTTCCAATTCTACGATTCTATGAAACTGCCTCTGGGCAGTATCCAGCTTTAACAGAAGGGCATCAGAAATCAGGCATGCACCTAAAATCCAGATATTTCATTGTGGGTGGAATACGGATTCGTTTTGCCAATAATTTGTAAATTTGTCTTTAAGTGCTTTTAATGCTTTGTATATGTTTTTATTTTATTCTTAATTGCATTCTTTTACTGC